CCCCCCGCTAGCGCAAAGGTGGTTCTTAAAGAGACAGAGGCCAATTTCAAGGCGTTTAGAAGAGGAAGTGATGAGAAGATAAGTTTATTTTCTATTTAAACATAAAACAGCATTTTAATACAACTAAAGGTGACATAGATACTTAGATAATTTATTATGGTATAGTATTTAAATGTATGCCTGAGAAACACATAATATTGCCCCTTTAAATTTTGCAAACTTCAGGAAGCTTTGTAAGCAAAATAAGGGATGTATCATTATATTTGTTTAAAATTGTCTCTAAGCAATATTATCTTTTATCCCAATTATTTGTGAGGCAGTTTATCGTCCAGCAACATTTGTTTTTGTGACAGGCCTACACAGAACCCAAATATTAATGAACAGCTTTATGCACAAATCAACACTCATTATTTCCCAGTAGCTCTGTTGTTAAAGGAAAGCAGGCTAGACTCCTTTGTTTTTGCAGGGATTTAATTATCAAAGTTTATGGCATCATGCTGACTGACTCAAATATGTTGCCTGTGCTTGAATACTGTGACTCATTTCTCCACACTGCCTTCCAGAATGTGGAGTATTCCGCAGGACAAACTAGCAACATTCCCTCTTAAAGTTTTCTTTCCTCACTAACTTTATGATCTGTGTTCATTTTAAATGAAGTCTCTGTGAGGTTTTCAGACTTCTGCTTCTCTTCCTGTTCGGCTCCCGCTCTGTTGGTGTGTGTTTTCCACCTCCACTGGATGGGAGGATCGAGGAGTTGGTGTGTTAGGTTGAGAACTATTCCGAGCTGCCAGTTGGCTGCAGAATGTGATGTGTAGGTGAGAGTCTTCAGCACGGAAAGTCAAACAGACGGGGCATGTTAGACGGGATGGGGACTTGGAAAATACACGTGAGAAATTACATGGCCGAATAGAAGACAAGAACACACACAGGCAGGCTTAGAGAAGCTGTCTGCTGTGTTACACTATGAGATGAGACTTGTTCAAATCTTCAGTCCAAAATGGGTTTACATCTTGGTTATTGGTGCACAAGTAGCCTGGAATATAGATGCATGTAGCTTGCTTTTGGTCTCAAATAATGCTTGTTTCATCTGCTCATCTGTAAGTTTAATTGTCTTGGTAAAACTGCTGAGTAGGACAAAATACATTTACAGTAAAGTATTATTTCCACACTGGTTGTTACTCCACCTTCAATTCAAAGAGGCATCGTCTTCTAATTCAAACACTACACTTTTCACACCATAAGTAGGGCTGGGCAAAATTGTATCATGACTAGTGCTGGGCGGTATACCGTTTTGTACCGAATACCGGTTTTTATTTTTGTTATGATATGAATTTTCTTAATACCGGACATTCTGGTTTAAAAACCTTTCGTTGCGGCCGCCAGAGTTTCCCGGGGGACATTTTTCCTTGCTGCACCGCTATGTGCGTTAGCATGCTAATGTTTGGAGCAGCTAGTTGCAGCCGCGGGTGGCGATTCTGCTGCTTATATTGACTGACGTTTAAAAAACATCCCGTTTTCGCCGTGGCTGAATGTAGTAAACACCCCTTCAGTGACATGCACAGTTAAGGGCTCGACACACGGGAGGCGACGTCGCTCGCTCTACATTCATTTCCTATGGAGCCTGTGCGGTGAGGCGAAAATCGCTTGCCCTCCTCCAGCTAAGCGACCGGTGAAAATAGTGCATGTGAAATTTCACGCTCGTACACGTAGACGTGCACATGCAAGCTTGCGACGCGACATATGAAAGTTGAAAAATGTTCAACTTTTGTCACTGTCGCTTAGCGTACAACCAATCAGCRAGGGTTTCATTGAATGACCAATGAGAGGAGAGTATGCTACACACTGCCGTTAGCTAACACTTTCACCAAGTGATTACTAAAAAGCTTTGTGGGAATTTATTGGCACCAGGGTGAAGTTTATGGTAAGTTTTTCCTCATAAAATTGTATCTTGATGTGTGTTTGTTTTTCAATATCATTAGCATCGCAAGATGTGTTTAGTTTACACGTCCGTAATGCACACCTGCCATCAAAGTCAAGAACCAATCAAATTTTGTGAAGACAAGCGATCTGAGAGCACGATTCGCAACGCTGTGATCGCCATCGCATCCCGTGTGTCGGGTTTTCACCCTGGCTGCGATGACAGCCGTTAATCGCTGTAGTTTGTCGCTGCCCGTGTGTYGAGCCCTTCAGATTTAACGCGGTTAGTTAATATGGAGACGTTATGCTGATGGAGACTTAACGTGGTTCTATTGTGAAAAGCCTGCGGGAAGTAGTTTGTAGTGGAGTTGGAATTGACTGGTGTGCAAAGTGAGTCGTGCTGATAAGCTTTAATATATAACATAAAACAATAAACCCGATCATAATCTTTTCTTAACCCTCCTCCTTCATGACTGGACCAAAATGCATGTCTACTGTCTCCAACCACCAGTCAAAGAAAATACAGAGGAGGGAAACAGCGACACAGACAGAGGTACAGTAAAAGGAAAAAAATTCAATAAGCAGGGTTTGTACATTTTATTATCAACTGAGCTGTGATGAAAAGAAAAATACCGTCAAATACCATGAAACCGGTGAAAATGTTGAAAATACCGTGATATAAAATTTAGATCATATCGCCCAGCTCTAATCATGACCAAGTTAATCATCAGAAAAATTTTGATCAAAATTGGTAATTGCCGATTAATACGATTAATACCACCAGGCCAACCCATTCTCACCCCCAAGTCGTCACATACTGACACTTTTCCAAGGTTCCCTCTGCGTCCGATTTTGACGTGTCGGGTACCCCCTCGCGTCAGTTATTGATGAGATGGGGCGGAATCCGATGTCATAATTTCAGAAAGTGTAGAAAATACACAAAACTAACCATTCCAAATCCTAAAATTACCTTTATTCACT